TTCAAATTCAAATATTGTTCAGTCATTGGATCGTATCCAGAGATATAGATCTTGGATTTCAGATTAATTTATATGGATGGAAAGATAAGAAATAGGCCTACAACTTTCATGAATATGGAAAGACCCAAATTTATCATTTTCAAATTCAAAGTTAGGCCACAAAAGAGAAGTTTGAATCTGTCCTGCAATTCAACCCAAACACTACTTAGAGTTTTACCTATAAATGGAGTTATAGAAGTCCAAATGATCTGAAATTTGGTGGGTAGAAGGAAATTATAATTTACAACCACTTTTATGTAGAACACTTTATCAAATTCTGATTGAATCAATGTCAATTCAGCCAACCAAAGTGCTTGAGTAATGTTGTCCATTAAGTTCGCTAATCAATAGTTGGCCACTACATCAATTATCAATTACCAAATGAATAGTTTTGAATTTTAGCCTATAGAAGAAGACATTTGCCATTCATTTAGGCATCTTGTTTTCCATATCAAGATTATGTTCTTGCTCTCTCTCTTTATATTTTTGTAATACTTAAGTTTTGCTTTCATTAATATCTTGTTCATGTTTTTCATTTGCTTTACTATACTTAGTTAACTTATATCATATTTATGTTCTTATATTATTTATTTAAGTTTTTCTTCTTCATAATGTGTAGCTAAGTTAATTATGTCAATGTGAAAAGGTTTCACTAATGGTGTTAGGATAAATATAATATAAACTCAATATGGACTTCAATGCTTATATCTTAAACAACTTGCTATTAACATGTCTTATTATTTTTCTCTTATTAATTCTTAATACCTTGCTTGTTAAATGGTTAATCTAGATTTGTGTTGTATAACACTTGGTACATCAAATACTTGATCCTTCGTAGTCTTCGGCCGACATCGTTATTATGAGAGAAACTTGATTTGTTATCAACATAAGTTAACATCATGAATACTTGATAAAATTTATAAGTATAATGTTATGTAAATAAGATGATTAATATGATTATGTTAATAACTTATAAAGAGTTTATACTTTACTTATCTGTAATACTATTAGTGTATCCTCTAACCTTAACATTTGTTTTTATTATTGTATAATCTTTACATTAATCTTACATCTCAAAGTCCTCTTTAACTCATCTTCACCACCATCATCACCATCGTTATTGTTATTATTATTATTATTATTATTATTTATAATTTATATAGTTAACTTTCCTATGGTTTGACCCCGGTCTTGCCGAGTTATTTATTATTTTGACACTCCTGCACTTGGGATAAGATATCAACTCTTTAATCGTGTCACTATCATAAATTCTTTACTCATCTCTTTTCATTTTAGACCAATAAATATACTCATGCAAAACATTTAAAGTCTTAGCAATCCTAAAATATCTCATTAATCCACCCCCGTGCGCTTAACTAACAAGCAAATCAAGCATAGAACAATTAGGCATACACAATCTATTTTCTTTAAATAAATATACATGAAACCTATAAAACTTATCATAGGATGAATGTTCATATGCAATATATAATTGGTTGAAATCAACATCCTTAATATCTTTTACATACTCAAATCCTAATAATTTTGTGTTTATAGTTGAAAGAAGTATATACCTTTACGATAGTGTATCAAAACAACTAAAAAATAACCTACACCTGGTTTTCATCAAATATAATAATATAATCACCAAATAATTAACATGTAGCTTATTTCATTAAATAAATAAAGGACATTGATATTTAGAATGCACTCATCTTTATGATTTCATCATAATTAATATAAATCTCGATATTGACGAACCAAATTACAATGTATGGCAAGATATTAATGTGCATAATTTTAGAACATGATTATAGATCTAAAATGCAATACCCAAATTATAAGTATATCAGTTTAACTATAGGAATTTACTAGTTGGCTCTGGAATGGGAGAAACCTGACAATTACAATATTTCATAATATGATTATAATACAATAATCTTATGAATAAAACACACACATATAACACTCTTTCATATATTTACACTCA